AATAAGAGGCCGCTCTAAAATGTGCAGTTTTATCACACAGCATGACGACGTAGACGTTACCAGTTTTGATGGATTGTCCAGTTGGCTGCTGATTGCAGGAATGTCTAAATGAGGCTGGGCCAACCAGTTAGATGGTGATAAGATGGTTTCTGGAGTCCGCCCTCTCTCCCCCGTTGACTCCTCTGAGGCAGCCTTGGCCAAAATGGTTCAAAACCCCATCACTTATCACCATCAAACTGGTACAGTGGGTATATTGGTATAAGGATGTTGGAAATTAAGCTGCCAGGAAAAAGACGAAGAGGAGATACCGTATTTTTCAGCCTGTAAGTCAGATTTTTGCAGCATTCGCATGCCCTGCGACTTATACGCCGAAGCGACGCATTTATGTTTTGTTTCCATATTTAAAAACCAATTTTTTGCTGGCAGTTTTCATTCATTCTGATTGAAAATATTGAACACTACCATTTTCAGCCACTAGATGGCACTCAAGTAGTATGGCATGCTGTTGTGTCATGTAATAGGTAAAAGTGGCACAATCTGCTTGTCATATCCTGCCACCTTCGTCCAGCTCGCCTGTGGCTGCGGGCTGGGGCCGGGTCGGATAAGATTTTTTGGGCCCGAATGCAACTCTACTAGAGGGCCCTCGAGTAATATGGCAAGCCAAGTGTCTCGTTAAAAGGTAAAAGTGGCTATTAATGAGACACTTGGCTTGCCATACCAAGCCACCTTCGTCTCGCTCTGGAACTCCTGGAGCAAACGTCAAATCAGCTGCATTTCGGCGCACTGCCCCGTGAAATGCAGCTGATTTGACCATTAAAGTGAATTAATTAAGTAAAAGTTCAACTGAGACACAACTTTACTATAAAGTCAAATAATTGTTTTTAAGTGTTAATCTTGTTAAATTCTTTTTACTCCCGCGGTCACCATTTGGCAGCCAATCGTTTTTTGGCACAACACCGGCCCACGTTTCTGGGTTGTCAGCGGTGACGCATAACAGATGCGACATATTTATGGATTTTTCCACTTTATTAGACATACTCGGACTGATGCGACTTCGTAGTGAAAACATCTGGTTGGCTAAAGGTCGGACTTTCAGAGACACGTTCGGCGCTAAATCAAGACAATGACCCAAATTGATTTTTCCCTCAAACCACAAGAGTCAAACTTGTGGAGCAGCTTTTTGTTTTTCTTTCATTAAATCACAAACTCTCTGCAAAGTCTCCAACAAGTGATGCAATCGGTTTGTCCTGTTTTAGTTGATAAAGATATTTACAAGCTGCACCTTGGGTTTTATTCTTGATTTTGTGATGCGCAGTGGATTTTTCAGATCTTATATTTCATTTTTTAAACTTCTGTGAGCCACACCGGTCCTGTTTTATACTGTTATTGTAAACTAATCTTTTATACGTAGCCCTGTTGCCTTCCAGAT